CAGCCTGCTTCGCCGTCATGATCGCTGGGGAACCCATCTTTTCCTCTAAATTGAAGGTAAGTTCGTCCAGCTTAGTGAATTCTATGTCCATGTCTACTTATAGTTTTTGGTAGTTTAGCGTTTTTGTCTTAAACTTCACAAATCGGCTGTGATTACTGCCGCGAATGTCCAAGGGTGTTAACCTAACGGAACAGTTTTTTGTTTTGCGTTAGCTTGCTGCTCTTAATTCTTTTTTTGTTTCATTTCAATTTGAACAAATTTGGGACACTAAACTGTACGTTGGGTTGCACGTTGTTATCTGGCTGCAAGTTAGCTACCATTCTTTGATAGTAATCAAACTAACTCATTTACTCTGAATATCGTCAGAAATTATGAAAAAATAATAAGTGCCAGGGTCCTAAAACAAAGCGCGTAATGTGCTTGTATGCTCTAGTGTAGGCTATCCTTGTTTGTAAAATTGCATCACTTTGTGTGATGAGTGAAATCTTCAGATGTTTGTGATTTGTTTTGTCTCTCAGGGGCTGTTAGGAGTGAGGTGTCCTTCGCTGATGGGAGAAAAAACACCTAAATAAGGTAACGTTACGTGTTGTGATCTCATCCTCTTTTATTTTGAACAGACCCCAGTCAAATAAAAAGTAAAACTAAACTAATTTGGATTAACGTCTGTGTTTATAGATGACTTTGAGCGTGAGACAGTGGTGAAAACGCCAAAGAGAACTGGAACATGGCATGTTATATTCAGTTATAAATGTTTGACCAAGTTTTTAAATATCTTATAAATCTGTTCAGTTTCATCATTTGATAATAACTTTTAAAACACATTTTTTTGTGGTATAGATGCAGTGACTGAGACTGGGAGATGCAGTGACTGAAACCTGGTGGTAAGTGTTGATCTATTGGCAGACACTTCTAATAGACACCTTCTCTCTTGTGAGCTAGCAAACTTTGTTATTCTAATTAGAGCATTGTAAACATCACCAAATGTGTTCGTTTATTTCAGTGTTCCAGAAAAAGGTCCTGAAACTACTGGTCGACATCCGCCATCGCCTGAAGGAAACCAGGTAGTGGATGCAGAAGAAACATATTTTTGCTTACAAATGTGGGGACTTGGGGCAGATTGCCTTTGCATACATCTAAATCATTTGTCTTTTTCAACTTTGCAGAAGGGGTCATGAAATTCGGTTCCACAGCCACTGAGGTGTATGTACATCAAGGTGAACCTCAAGCACGCGTCGCAAAGACTTAAATTCACTTCGCCCTGATGAGCCAAGCCTACAGGACTTGAATTAAGAGTTTTAAAGGGATAGTTCACTTTGAAATTATTTTTTGAAATGTTTTGGCTTACGTCAAGGGCATCAGTCAGTCATATAATGGAAGTCTATGGGGATCTCTTAAAAGAGCATGCACAGAGAAGTACAAATTAAACATGATTTAATGAATCATAACTGTAAGTACACCTTGATGGCTTAAGATACGAGACGAGCGGTTTGTGTGAGAAAATGAACAGTGTGTGTGTGTGTATATATATATATGATCTGCGCATGCGGTGGAAACCGCCAGAAGCGATCTTGCACTGGTACGTCACTCATTGTTTACACAGATTTCGGAAGTTTTACTGTGAAGATCTAAACATATTAAGATGTATTGCATTTTGTGTATATCTAAATATATATATATATATATATATACACACACACACACACACACACACACATTTATACAATATAAATACTGTTTGTTTTCTTTCCCAAAACGCTCATTTCGTGTCTTAGTCAATCATTGTGTACTTAATTTATGAGTCATTAAATCATGTTTAATTTGGTCTTCTTTGTGCATGCTCTTTGAGGTGGTGACCATAGACCTGCATTATATGACTGACAGACAACAACAGTTTGACCTAAAAATATCAAAATTGAAAATACTGTGGAAACAAAACCACCTGCATCTTGGATGCCCTTGAGATAAGATAAAACATATCAAAAATTTATTTCAAAGTGAACCATACCTTTAAATTACATCCTTATTATTCGTTCATAATTCTGGCTCCACTGTACATTGTGTTTGATATATCTGGTGCCCAATTCTGATGCCATTCAGGGCAATTTATTTTTGAATAGAGATGCAATATATTATTGATTTATTTGTATAACTGTAGTGCTGTATGTATGTATGTTGTCCCATGTTTCCAGAGGGTGGAGGACATGTTTTCTGTGCTTTGAAAGATGTTCTCCTATGCTGTGTACATAGTTTTGTGTTTGTTCTAATAAAGCTATTTCTTTGAATAAACAGTATGTGGCAAATGTTCCTTTCCTCAATAAATTCATGTCCTTGATGGTAATAATAATTTAGTCCATAGGATAACAATGACATGAATAAACAACATAATAGCATATCATATGAATATATATATGATTATTATTATTATAATTTTATGTCGGCTGACCAATAGTAACAGATCTGCCAACCAATCACGAGTGATTTTCTTGTTTAAATGTAGTGAATTTCAACCAATACTGAGTGAGGAAATTCAAGCCATTCTCTGGCAAGGCGCGCGCAGTGCTGCTATTCATATGCTAATTAGGGCCATTCGCACCTCCGCGAGCGCTGCATGCATACGTCATGGTTCGTTTCCGTCAATATGTGGCACAGTGGAACGCGACGTTCACAGTCTGTAAATTGTCGTTAACTGCCGAAAATTAGGGAGATTTCCGGCAGTTTACGGGGACGAAAATCCCACTTTTCATGCAGTGAAAAGTGCCCGGAACTGACAGCCGTGAGAAAATACACCAACAGGAAGGTCATGGGAAGGAGACATGTTCCAGTTTCCAGGTGGGGCACTGAGTGTTGTAGGTGTTAATGCAGCTATCAAATCTTTTACTCATAATATCCTGTGCTGACTCATACCCACTCATTCTTTCCAGCCTAAACTCCTGACAGTCTCCTGGAGTGGCATTGCGAGTCATCTAATATCAAACCTTTTCTGAATCATAAGAAGTCGCTCATGCTCACCAAGACTGCATTCATTAGACTGCAGAATTTTCAGAAGTCATTACTCCAGTTTCCACCTCTTCTGATTCTTTAAGATGTGACCCGCCCCATACCTCATCGTAACCTTACCACAAACTCCTTTTCAAAATGCAACATGATGTTTACATGAAGACATCTGCACTTTCCACCTCCCCTGCTATGAAGGACATTGGGCTTTGAACTTCGAGCTGTGCCAGTGATAACATGGGAACAGAACAGAGCACGGGCGACCATTTCAGAGGCCAAAATAAAGAGTTTTTGTCAGTGTGATTGGACTTTACATTTGTCTATAGATAAAAAATCAAGATGGCTGATGGCTCGAAGTTTGAGGGCCTATGCCAAGGTTCATCTGGCAAACCACAGAACCATGCCTGCTAACGTCAATTTACTTGGGAATGTTTTGGTTTCCAAGTCACGCCCAGAGAAACACAAACACAGAGAACAGTAGTGCCGTGCTTTCTCTCTCTGATTCAGAGGTGAAACAAGGGCATCCAACTTGAGAACCTGTTGACCTCCCACACTCCTCAAGTGGCCATGAGTTGATATTGTCTCTCGAAATATCTGCTGTAGCTTTATGCCTAGCATATCACATATCATTATCATCTGCTTTTACCACTATTAAAGGTACAATATGCAGGATTTTTGCAGCCAGGATTTTTGTGCCAAAAACCACTAGGCCAATGTTATGTATTTTGTTTAGTTGATTACTTACAATATCCCAAATGTTTCCAACTATTTGTAAATCATGAGAAAATTGCGATATTTAACCAAGGAAACGGGCGTGTGAGCAGGGGTGAGGAGTCGCCCGTCAATGACGTCCGTGTTACCCTCGGTTTCCGCTAGGTTTGACCTCGTACTGCAATAGTAACCATGGCGACAGACGTGGACAACTGGGTCGGTTATGCCCGTTATGCGTGCTCAACAGCGTGAGCGTCCCTAGCAGGGTTTTGTTCAAACATTATGGACCATGGCAAGCACACTTTGAGACAAAAAGAGGACTAAAACGAAGATCAACATGTTTCGAGATGCCGAGAGCTTCACGTCCGCGACTAACTTTGGCTTGACAGAGGCGCGAGTGTTGCATGTTACTTCAGCAAACAGGTGAGCAAATCAATGTATAAAAAACCTATCAATGTTATATAGTTCAACATCATGCAAATTTAGAATATGATCTGTATGTTATTCTCTGTATGTTAGTCTAATACAGCCAACAAACAACCTAACTAACAACATTCAACACACTCAAATGCCGTTTAGTGATAGTGTAACTGTTAGAGCAAGTGAAGCATCGCTGCGTTACCTCAAGTTTAATTCCTCCAATAAACTGACCTGTGTGAGTATGTTAATTCAGCGTGTAGTTCGCTAAAATTTAATTTCATAAATTAAATTAGAATTTAATTTATTCCTTTATATCCGCGGGACTCTTGTTGCGTGTGGCGCTGGTATACGTCTAGCAATCGCACCTGCTTCATACTACAGTCATGTTAATAACATCAATGTATTCTCGTCCATAAAAGATCCATCAGCTTGAAGATCCATAATTCCGTTTAATGCGGTATATACGTCAATAATAAACGCCTTTGTTATTGTAAGAGGTTAGCGACCCCTGGTGGCGAAACAATCTTGCATATTGTACCTTTAATACAAGCCTGATTTAGCGGACCCCGTCCGAATGATGGGCAAAAATATACTGATAAGTTTAATGAAGTTTTTTGTACATCATGCAAAAGATGAAGTCAGTTTTACTCCAGAAAACCATCGTATTAGGGATTTAAAAAAAGCACTAGGTGGATTTTTATCATTTTAGGGTGGTTGTACACACACTGCCAACACACATTTATGTTCAAACACCATGTAAAAGTGAATTTTGCATAATAGGTGCTCTTAAAGTAATATTTATATTTAACCTTCTAATAAAATGACGTGTACAATCAGAGTATCATAACAATGGACAATCAATCCAGGAACAGAAGTCACACCATAGGACATACAATATTTATTCAGGAACACAAACAATGATAAGTTAATTATCAGGTAGTCCACAAATATTGTGGGAATGGTATCAATATAGTCAAACAGGGGAAAACATACATGGAAAACCATTTGGGAACAAGTGACCCCAAAAGAAAAGTTTGATCAGAAATTGGTGCAAAAAGGAAAATAAAACAAAAGATTTTTTAAAAATGGGTTACTGACTGCTTCTTGAAAATGATTGTTTTCATCCAATAGGAAATTAAACTTTATTTTAGATGTCTACTTTTTACATAAATACAAATACAAAAGAGGATGTGGCCAGGATTACAACTTAAATAGGAGATACTTTTTCTAAAGCTGTTAATGAGACAGAATTCCCGAAAAGCGTTCATGTAGAATTCCCCCAAAAAGCAAGAAACTACAAAATATGACATACATATGAATACATCATGCAAAGTGGCAAGTCTGCTTACAAACATGTTGTATAGTAGTCTGTTTTAATGTAGCTTTAGCGGTATGGATTTACTCTCCCCGACTAAGAAACAACACACCTAAACCAGCTGACCAGCTCCCCCCAAAACAGATTTAAATAAAACTGTGAACCATGAGTATAAAAGATCCAGATCTTTCAGACCAATCTTTACAATCTTTGAGGACATCCATGAGTTACTGCATATTGGACAAAGCAAAGCATCATGGAAAATCCGTTTCGAGTTCGAAAAAAGTGTGTTCAACTAGTGAGATTCCCTGATTGGTTGAGTAGAGTCAGGTGACCAGTGAGGTACGAAAAAAGTCCCATTATCCAATGGGGAAAGAGAAAATGTAAGTCCGATACACAATAATGTTACAAAGTGTGTAAGTCTCACACACTGTACACATGAACGCTTGCATTACTAGTTAGTTCAAAACCGCAAAAACAGATCGCTAATCCACATGCAACGTCTTGCATAAAGAACATCAGATAAAAGGATAAAAAGTAAAACGTGAGAAAAATTGCTGCCTCAGATGCTAGATGTCCATCTTTGAGAAAATACCAGAAATAATCCAAGGGCGCGATGATCATAGTCCCATATATGTTAAACTACTTTTTTATTATAGAAAAAAAAATTCAGTTGCTCTCTTTCTTAGTAATACAATGTGCGCTTGTTTCTTTATTTCTCTTATTACCTTTGTGTTGGCTTTCGCTCCTCTTCTGTAAATGTCCATGTCGCTCGGTTATTCTTGGTTACGCTCTCTCCCCCTCCATGTTTTGGTGAGTGAGAGAGAGAAACCAGTGCCCCTGACCCTCGCTCCCCTCCCGTGGGCCGTGTAGTCCAGGCCCTCATCTCTCGGCCTCCATGGCGACGCTGGCCTTCTGTTCGGTTGCCGCTTGCTGGTTGACAGCCGAGGGCCAGCCTGGGGGCGGGTGGGCCTGTTGCGGGGAAGGGCCCTGAGTCCATAAGCCCTGCTGGTTGGGCACGGGTGGGGTCATGCCCCAGCTGACCGGAGGTGGAGGGGGCGAGGTGGCCATGCTGGGACTGCTGCTGCTGTTGAAGCTTTCTGAGGCTTTGAGTCGCGAGAACATGGTGAGGGCGTCTGGGAAGTTTGGTGGGGTCGCGGGTGTGTTGGCAGGAGTACACATCTGAAAACAAACAGATGAAGAAAGAATCACAAATGTGTTCTTTGATAATGCAAATCATTTTATAAATGCACAAATGGTGGTCCCTTTTGTGGGGACATTGCACCTACATGTCTACTCACTCTTATTTGAGTGTTAGTAGACTGGTAGTGTTAAGGGCCGTACACACATCGGGAGAAATATCGGCGCACGTTATTCGCCAGCGTTTTTCAAAGCGTTTTCTGTGTTCACACCCAAGCGATTTTCGGTGACGATGAGCCGAGTGAACATGCAAATTCATTCCCTGACATTAGATGGCGCTGATTTGCTCTGAAATACCACTCCATAACAGTTCTCTTTTATCAAGATGTTGGTAGTCACTGTCGCGTTTGTCATATAGTTCTTTATGTTCTAGCACCAAGGAGATCAGCAGCTCAACATTCATCTTGCCTTGCATCTTTCTCATCTTATTTCTTCCTGGCAGTGTAGACGGCGACGCTACTCGGCGTATGTCTTCTTCGTCGTTACGTATGTGTGCTCGACAAGACCGTTTTTTGTTTGAGCGCCCCCAAGTTGTGTTTTACTGTAACTTCAGAAGCTCCAAACACGTGACCAAAAGCACCAATCTCATTGGTCGGATATTTTTCGACGCAGCGCGTCAAACTAAAAAAAACGAACCTGATGCGTTTTTTTTTAAAATGGCGCTTTTACGCCTAGCGTTTTACGTGTCGGTGTGCACACTCACATTGGCGGCCTTTGTTTAGTCACGAGGCGTTAAACGTCGGCGAATATCGCGTGCGTAATTCGTCCCCGTGTAAACAGGCCTTTAAGGCCCATACAAACCGGGACGAATATCAGCGCACGTTTTTCGTCAGCGTTTTTTGTGTTCACACCCAAGCGATTTTCACTGACGATGAACATGCAAATTCATTCCCTGACATTAGATGGTGCCAATTTGCTCTGCAATACAACTCCATAACAGTTAGCTTTTATCAAGATGTTTGTAGTCCCTGTCGCGTTTGTCATATACTGTAGTTCTTTATGTTCTAGCACCAACAAGAACAGCAGCTCTACATCCATCTTGCCTTGCATCTTCCTCGTCTTAGCTCTTCCCATAGACAGTAATTTCTTCCTGGCTGTGTAGACGGCGACGCGTTTATCTTCTTCGCCATTGCATGTGTGTGCTCGGCAAGACCGTTTTGTGTTTGAGCGCCCCCAAGTTGTGTTTTACTATAAATTCAGAAGCTCCAAACATGTGAGCAAAAGCGCCAATCGTTTTTTTAAATGACGCTTTTATGCGTGGCGTTTTACGCGTCGGTGTGAACACTCACATTGGCGCCCTTTGTTAAGGCCAATTTATACTTCTGCGTCGAGGGTACGCCGTAGTGTACGGCGTTGGCTTCGCACGTAGGCGACGCCGTTGTGAGCATTTATACTTCTGCGTTCAGGTATTGGTTGCTCTGCAGTACTGCTCCGAAACGCTAGGAGGCGGCGGAGGGTTTTAATGTTCCACTGTGTTTAGATTCCTCGCGGCTAGGTTACTACAAGCAATAGCGACTGAAAGAGAGTGGATCATGTTGGAGTTGGAGCTTATTGGGGTGAAAAAACAGTTCATTTTAGTGAAATTACTAAAACTGAAAGGCAGAAATGAGAGAAGACGTCGGAGGAGATGGTACGTGTGGAAATGCGTATGAGGAAATACGACGCTACCAAGCCGACCAATCACCGATCTTGCGGTCCGCGTCGTCGCGACGTGTAGTTACATTTTTGAAGAGGTGCGCGTCAGGCAACGCGGAAGGGTACGCGGTATGGGACGCGTCTGTGCGTATGCTACGCCGTACCTACTGCGCGCACCCTACGCAGAAGTATAAATTGGCCTTTAGTCACGAGGCGTTAAACGACGGCGAATAACGCGCGTGAAATTCGTCCTGGTGTGAAAAGGCCTTTAGGGTTAGAAATGGTTGACGTACTTGCAAAGAAACTTATAGTCAGTAGAATTTCTGTTGGGGGACAATCAAAATGTACAGTTAGCAGTTATTAAGCAGACAGTCTATTAATACTTTAATGACTTTAGTCGACACATAGCTAAAACGTGAATGTTCAAAGGGGATCATCTAAATAAAGTGTTACCGATTGTACAGTAACAGTGTGAATACATTTTAAAAATGTAATTTATTCCTGTGTTGCAAAGCTGAATTTTCAGCAGCCATTACTCCAGTCTTCAGTCACATTATTCTTCCGAAATCTGATTCGTTGCTCAAGAAACATTTCTTATTATTATCAATGTTAAAACCATTTGTGCTGCTTAACATTTTTGTGATGCATTTTGAAATACAAATTTTTCATACATTTCTTTAATATCACTTCTTAGCTGACCTCAAAATTTTAAACAGGTGAGTATATATATTTTACTTCATACACTTAAATCAAATTAAATCAGTTAACCAGATCTTGCTCCACCTCTAAAATGGCTTTCCTTTTTGGCTGATGTCACAAACCCGTCATGTGTATTAGATATCACAAAGAAACCGTTTTCTGTGATTTAATCAATTCCCGATGTATACAATTAGGTCCCATCTTTTACAGATTACAGAAGTAAATTAAGCTGCGGAAGCATTTCATGTAGAACACGTTCTAAACAAGCAAGCAGCTACAATATTTTACACTGGCAAAATTAAATTCTGCTAAGGTGTCCCAGCAGATCATCCCGACATTCCCTCCCTTCCTTCACATTCTTTCTACATGCGCTGATTGGTGCTCTTCTAATAGTTCTACTTCCTGTTTCTCATCTATGCCAACTCCATTTGGCAACTCCATTACCTCGGTGACCTTCCCATTGTCCTCTCTAAACCCGCTGTCCTCTGTCCACAGCAAAACTCACATGTACAGAGGTACACAATAGGCCTCGAGAGCACCCCCGCCATCCTGCAATATTTTTGGCGGGAGAGCAACATCACCAGAATAAACAATATTTCAAAGCCCACCACAAATGCGCACATGAGCAGCCTGTGGATTGAATTAGGACTAATACGTGGGGGGAAATCTAGAGATTTTGTGAATGAAATCTAAATGAATGGACAGCGTTTCATGGGATACTTCCTGATGTGCCCTTGCACAGGTATGAGAAACATGCCCATATTGTCTTACTGCAGCGATCAAATCCGTATCCGTGTCCCATCCTGTCAGCAACCTTGAATCCTGCCGCCTGCAGTTCGTATTGACCCATCAGTAAGGATATCTCGCCAAAAAACACAATCACCTCATTGTGGCTGGTCAAAAGTCTCAAATGGACTTCAGTGTCCCTAGATGGCTTTAATTCACAAAAGTGTTTACAACAGGAAGTCTGAGGGATTTAAAAAAAGCTATGAAGCTTTTAAAAAGGCTTTAAACAGCACTGAGGGTTTTTTTGAGAGTCACACAAAATGGCATCTAGTAATGCATCGGCCGTCAGAACAGCTGCTGCAGATGTAGAGAAGGTCAGCGGCTTAACACGGCCGTCAAACCGAGAGCAGATGCACCTGCAGATCCTCCATAATTCAGAAACATCGACAAGAGATGCAGTGTACAAAACAAACATGTTCTGGACAACAGCTGGGTTGCTGTGGAAATATTTTGGTTGTGAGGACAGATCTGTTGATGAGAAATGAGGTCAGAGTTGGCGTAGAAAAACAGAACCTGTGGTGAACAGCCCAGTCCACTTTGTTGCACTGCATTTTTGTTTGTTACACTTCATTTACTTGGAAACCTAGTGAATGTTTAACAGTTTTTGTCTGTTTTGGGACACTGTTAGTGTTAAAGCTGTGTGCTACCAACAGAACTGTAAGAAAAAAATGTTTTCAAATTGGCTTCTAAACACACCCCTTGTCTTTCAATGGTTGGACAAAAAGACAGCCCAGCCCCAAACTCTCGCCATTGGATAAGCCGATGTTGCAGTTTTGCTGGTTGGAATTTTTTTTACAGGTATTTTAAATTGCGAATTTCATTGTGATTTGGTTTTAGGGTGAAAAGAAATGTACGTATACTTAAAGGGTTATGTCCCGGCAGAAAATTACAACTACTTTTTCTGTTTTTCAACCTATTTTTTTATACAGACCCACATGTTATTATTATTTTTTATTATTATTTTATTTTTTTTAATTATTTATTATTATATTTTTCTAAAGAGTAATTCACTAACAAACGGCCTACATTGCCGGCTATATTTCTTTCAACATTAAATTCAATCAAAGTTTTCAATCAAGTTTTTAACATTGAATTAATATGGCATTTGAGTGGTTTCTGTTTTAAAACAGAAGTGCAAGTGTGAATGCCACAACACATATAAAGTGGGAAAGAGCTTTGCGATTGATTGTACAACTAGATTTGACCAAATCTAGAAAAAATCAGAGGTATATTTTACAGACTGCTGTAGAAAGAGGAGCAAATGGATTGCTGCAATTCACAGAAACAACTGGACTCAGACAGTGAAAGGTGGATTTGCAGTTATCATTTTGTGTCAGTGTGCTGAATTTAGGTGTAAAACCATACCCATATATATTTGTATTGTTATATACATTTACAACTCGTCAATTAAATATGCATCATTGCATATTCTGCATTATTGGATTTTTAATAAACAATGACCAAAAAAAAAAACTATAAAAGTTTTAGGGCTGGACAATATGATGATATATAGGCTATATATAACACTGATATAAGTGATCACCTGGATTTAGACCTACCTATATTGTTTTTATACAATGCATTCACAGGCAAATTTGCTTTATGTTTAGGTCTATATTGCTTTTATTTCCCCGGTGTCAAAACATACATAAATGTCTGGCAACACGATTCCTGGCTGCATGTTAATATCCATGGATTACCGGATCTTTAGTAAGTTGTAAGGAACACTATTGAGTCCAACATTTAGTTTAAAATGATAAAATTGTTCGTTTTAGTCACATTTTCGCAGTTTCCCCTATTAAATCCAGTCACGCAGCAGATCTTTTGCCACTCAGTCAGGCTGAGGGGTTGTTGTTTTGGCG